TTGGATATGTGTTAACTTATTTAAATTTCATAATTTAAAGCAGTATTATCTCTATTTTATGGGTGAGATACATCAGGCCACTAGTTTGGCTTGTTCCCTCATGCGAGACTGAGCTGGAGCTCAAACCCAGGCAGTCTGGCTTCTGAGTACGTGCTTTTAGAGGCTCCACGAGGCTCCCTTTCTGAACGTATATGACTAATCCTTCCACCCATTTCCTGCCTCTGCTCATTAGCCGTTACTTCCTACATCAGTCATTTCTTTTGATCCCGCTTGCTTTGGTTCCTGACATTCATTGTGGTGATCTTGCAGATCATTTAAGACCATGAGGTGGCAGTGGGGAGAACTGGAAAGGAGATTTAGGTGGGGTCCATGTCTGGGAGGTACTGTGGATAACACCGCCTTGAGACTGAAATACTACTGCTCCTTTGCACAGGGGTGGCGGTCAGGAAAGACCTTATAAACACCTCCCCATCACTACTCAAGGCTGACTCTGTAATTTACAGAAATGGAGGCAGGTAAGGGGGGCTGGCCTCAGGTTGAACGTACCCCCTTTCCACCTTGTGTCTGCAGATCCTAAGCAATTTTGTTTTTCTTTTTTCTTTTTTAAAAAACAGGCATTAAAGATGCTTCAGTGTTCCTCCATACCCAAAGAAGCGACCCCGGGAGCCTGGGCTGGACCGAGGCCACGATGCCGTCAGGAGCAGGAGGCGCTGGGAGGCGGAGGCGCAGACTGCAGCTTGCAGGCTGCGAGCCCGAGAGCGGCTGCCTGTTGAAGGCATTTTCCTGTCTGTCGCAGGGGGCTTCACTCGGCTTCCCAGCCCTCCATCTCAGAGAAAGACAAACCAATATGATACTGTGTACGTACTTGCCAAACTGTTTATTTGCCATTCGCTACTTATAATATTGGGTTTACAGAAGAAACTGTGGTACAAAGAAAGTAAGGCTCCAATGGCTCCTGGGCAGCAGCAGTCCAGCTGCCCTGCACAGGCTGGGCGCAGTGGGCGCTCCCGGCAGGTGCTCCCGGCGGGGGGCGGCCACGCCGGCTACGTGCAGTGGACCGTGCACGATGGGTGTCTGCTCTCCTGCGCTAGCTAGAAACACCTTGGAGAGGGGCTTCTTGGGTGTTCTCTCATAATGTATCTGGTTTAAAACTTGACATTGACAGTTCCCTTGCAGAAAGTGTTCACTATGGCTGTCAGTACCAGGGAGAAAGAAACCACACACAAACTTCCAGGGTGCTTTGTGAACAGGTCCAGTAACTGCTACACACACAGACACGAGGTGGGGCCTAGCCAAGCAGGACTGCATTTCCCGTGGTTACTTTTCAATAGATGTGTTATACTGTCATTTCAATTTGGACGTTTATTGGTTTTTTTCCATTGATTTTTATACATCCAGAATAGCACAAATAACCAACAGTTCTTTTTTTTTTTGCATATTCATTTCCCCAGAACAAAAAGTGAACTTCCTTAAAAAAAAACTGGAACCATGCTATTAACTCTTTACAAAAGTGAATAAAAAGTAGCTCATTTTTAAGTCTAAAATAAACAAAGTAGAAAGAAGCATTTTTTGTCTATGATATTTAGCAAACATAAGAACAAGTTCTTAGAAACACACAAAAAAATTGAAAAAAATTATTACAGGTATTAACAATATTTTATAATGAAGCTTAAAATCTATTTACATACATAAATACAATTAACTTTGTTGATGCAACTCTTCTGGAAGGAAAAAAAAATGCCAAATGATCAGCCTCATCAATACTGATCTGGCTAAAAGGGAGGGGAAAACTCCAAACAAACAGACAAACAGAAAACCCCAAAAAACTGTATACTGCAAGTAAACAAAAAGGCATTTTGTTCAGATGTAAAAAATGTTTTCTGAGATTATTGTTAAACCGATAAAAGACCCCAAACATGTCATCCCCCTCAGAAAACAAAAACCTCCAAAAATAAAAATCACCAGGACGGAATGTCCCAAGGAAACAGGTATTTCAAGACAGAAATCTGCAATCCTAAATTGCAGGACATTTGAGCAAAACCATTCATTTCCTTTCTAATCAGAGCATTTCTGTTTATCTGCCTAGAAATCCTAGGTAGCAGAAGGGCTGTCTGTTAACTCACTGATTATAATTTGCCCAGGAAGACTTCTATTGCTGCACTTGGAAAGCAAGCAGATCCAAAATGGCTGGCAAAATTCTGCAGGAAGAAACCCATACGCGGGAGAAAGGCTGACTCACTAAGTTCCTTTATGTAAAGGGAGGAACAGTGCAGCTCCTCCTGTTCCTTGCCTGGTGTTGGGGTGGGGGTGGGGTGTGCTGTCTCCTTACACAAAGCTGAAGAATGGAGGAGGGGAGAGGTGAGCTTTGGAGGAGGAAGGGGAAGAGAGAAAGAGGGAGATATTAGGGGTCAGAGAGGAAGAGAAATGTATTTTTAGAGAAAATAACTGAAATCTGTGTCTATGTTGAAATTATAAATAAGGGCATGAACAAGCAGTAGAGATGGCTTATTTAATCTTTCTTCTTCTGGACCAATGTTCTCAGATACATCCAGTTATTCCATTATTGGCTTAAGGATGTACTTGATAAAAGGACCACTTAATTTACCTGAAGGCAATAGAATAGAATTCCTTAGGAAAAAAACACATTAAGTATGAGACCTATCTCCAAAACTACTAGAGTTTGACTTTTTTTTTTTTTTTTGGTAAAGATTAAATACTGTATATGCCGGTAAGGGTCTGCGAAACTCTGGATGGCCAAACCCGTAGGGTCTGCAACAAAATGACAAGCCCTCCTCAGACATGCTTTGAGAGTGAAGATTCAGTGTGAGAGATGATCTGATTTCCCTCGGGCATTTGGCTGAATTTGACTTGGGATAGCCTCAGGTACCAGAATTGAACTCAAAAATACACATTTTTTTCCCCTTCATTTTTTTTTTAACCAACATTTTGTCATGTTAGATAAGGCAACGTGCTGAAAAGAACATTTACGTTCAATTTGCGGTCAATGGGCTAATGGTCCTTTTCAGATGTAAAAAAAATTTAAATTTAGTGCCATTTAAGGGTAATTTTGCTGTAAAAAGGTAATATAGAATAAAATATGAAATTGAATTGTGGAGAGAGAATTATGTCTGAAATGAAAATAAATATATTCTGAGTTTCTCCAAGATCTGCTTTAGCTCTTTTCTAGGTAAGAACAACCTGACTGCCAACACAAATTGCTTTACTCTAACTCTTACCAAAGTGCTACTGCATCTGTGTAAAACAAATAATCAATATATATATATATAAGAAAACTCAAAAACAAGTTGTTTTAAATAAGACCAGCTGTTTTGCTGCCTGCAGCCGAAGATTTTTCTAATTTGAATCCTTAAATTTATAAAATAAAAATCAAACACTGTTCTGAAGTCCTGCTTTCAAATACTCTTTAGAGTTGACCTGAAATCGTTTCAACTAATTTAAGAGGTACATTAAATAACAACCAGATCATTTTGAGCACACATGTCACAATCAGCAGTTAGTATTTATGAGCTATACAACAACTGCATTCAGACCAAATCCTCCAATAAAAATAGTGCCATAAAATTTACAGTGACATTGGATATGTTTGAATTGTAGCCATAGGCAGCACTGACTCGAACCCTTCCCGTCACGCAGAGGCACGGGTAAAAGTGCACACACCCTGTAGGGTAGGGTCTCAGTCTGGTGAGAGTCACGCAAAGTTAGGCGGTGAACGAGCAGCGTGGGATGGGGCCTGCACAGGTGGGACGATGCTCTCCCATGTGACTCGACTGAGGCACACAGAGGGGATTTGGCTTGTTCAGGCCTGCTTCTGGGCCCACCCTATGAAAACTGAGTTGGAGACTTCAGCGGTCAAAGGCATGCAGTCTAGTCGTTTCCGCTCCCAGCCTTGGGGGGCAGCCACAAGTTTTGTTTTGCATCAATGCACAGGTAATGCATCAAAGAGGAGTATTTTCTTGGAAATAAAACGTCTGAACTCTGGATTCAGACGATCTCCTTCCCACCCCAGAACTGAGCAGTTAAGGAACTCCTAAATTCATTCATTTGGTTCCCATGTGGATACTGCTCCTCCACATAGCTAACTTTGGATTCCTTCTGTTACAAAGCATGTCTGACATTATCAACAGGCCATGGAGTGAGCAAACCCCTAGGCAAAAAATAAATCCTCTCCAGAGGTGCAATCATTGGCATTTGCCCGAAACCTCTGGAACCAGATCTGACCTCCTCTGTTTGAAGGCAGGGAGTCAGATATGAGACCCTTTGTTGAGCTTGGCAGAAAATTCCATACTTCAGATCTTTGGAGTGACCCTCAGTATCTAAAAAGCCTACTGAAAACATTGCTGCATTAGCTACCAACTCGTTTGATTAATATTAAAGGGAGTTTAATGTAAACAATATTTAGATAACTGAGTGATCACATTACCCATCCTTTTTTTCCCAACCTTCTTCAATGTGATACAATGAACTTTGGCTACTATCAAAAACAAAACAAAAAATGTAGTACTTGATATTTTTCTTCTTAATATAAGTACATTTAAATAATAAAAAAAGTATCAACACGTTTAAGTGTCTAAACACCAAGATACATAAATATCTAGGGACTCCTTGTGGGAATACAGTAGTTGAAAATGACCCAAAGCTGTAGCTGTTTCTCAAACAAAACAAAACCCTACACAAAAGTCCAAAAGAAAAGTTAAATAAAACTTAGAGAAAAAGGAATCATATTTCTTTCATTTGTCAAAGCAAGAAAGAAGCAAGCTCAAATTTATATATATATATATATATATTATATATATATATATATATATAAATAAAAACCACCCCAAATGCAAATACGCATTTTGCAATTTATAAGGTGCTGGAAAAGAAAATTAAAAATATGAATTAGATGCTAAACAGGATGAGTTGCATTCCTCCCCTCAAAAAAAAACCCACAAAAATTCCATACTCTTTGGAATAAACAACTTGGTTAAAAAGTGAAGTCAAGGGTATAAAATCTTTCTTTTATTCACAGCATTGCTAAATCAGAAGCATTCACAGTTTCCCTCTGGGAATCTTCCTGTTTGCCTTACAGCGTGTCCACATGGTGGTGAGGCGGACACTCTCAAGTTGCGCCAGGTTTGACAGATCTGAGATGGGCCCGCAGCGGCTGCGCGAAGCCGCACGACTTGAGAAGCGCAGGCGGCCCGAGGCCGCGGCTCGGAGCCAGAGCGCGGATCACAGTTCGTGGGGGCGCGCGCTCCAGGCCGGCCGGCGGTCGGACCCACGCGGGCCCCTCTGGAGCACCCGCCGGGTCCGGAAGGAGGCGCTTCCGGGTCGACGTCCGGCCAGCGGGCCAGGTGAGCGAGCAGCCGGCGGGCGCATGCGCAGCCTCAGTAGGGCCGCCACACGGCCTCCTCGAGTCGCGCGGCGGGCGCCATGTTGGTGGGGGAGTTGCTGTGGCTGCCCTCGGCCTCCACTACGTCGCTCTGGTTCGGGAGGCTGGGGTTGAGCAGCGCCGAGCCGGTGGAGGCGTTGGTGCAGGGCGGAAGGATGCGCGGCGGCGAGCGCTCGCCGCCCACCATGGAGAACTGGTAGGAGCCGGCCGACGCGCCGTAGTACAGGTGGTAGGACGGCGAGCTGGCCTGGAATGGGCCGGCCTGCGCCTGCGATGAGCCGGGGTAGGGCGGCGGCAGGTACGTGTGGTAGCGCGTGGCCGAGCTCATGGCCGACATGCCGATGCCAATGCCCGACGTGACGGGCGTCGGGGAGTAGGTGAAGGCGCCGGGGTAGTGCATGCGGGGGTCTGAGATGGAGGGCAGCGCGGGGAACTGGCGTGGGTCGCCGAAGGCCGTCAGGTCCGACGCGGCTGCGGGCGGGTGAGAAAATACGGTGAGACGGGGATTGGGGAGGCCACGCCCTCTCCCCCGCCACCCCGCCCACGGCAGGATTACCCAGAATGGTGCTGCCCGGGAGCTGGCGTGATGACGCGGTAATAGAAGACGGGAGTGAATGACCTCATGTGATGTAATGTGGCATATGAGGCAATGTCCTGTAACGCAGGCTTGACGTAACCTACGATGTAGTTGTAACATTGGTGTAACTCTGAGACTGGCAAACCCACCTGCTACCAATTTTTGTGTGGCCTACAAGCTAAGAATGAGTTTTACTTTAACAAATGGTTGAAAAAAAAATCGAAAGACTATTTCTTGGTGTGAAAATTATATACGATTTAAATTTCAGTGCCCGTGCATGAAGTTTTGTTGGAAGGAGCCTCACTTGTGTTTCAACGTTATTATCTGTGGCTGCTTTTGAGTCACTGGTGCAGAGTTGAGTGGTCACAGCAAAGACTGTAGGGCCAAGCCATATAATATTTAGTATCTGGCCCTTTGCAGAAAAAAGTTTGTGGACTCTCTATATAATCAATTACTAATATATATATTAATATAAGTCTGATCAACAATGTAATATAATAATAAATAACATAAAATAATATAACCTTAGAAGAATTATTAATATAATGGATGCATCAATAGATTAATGTTAATAGGGTATTTTACATAATATTGTCATAACAATATTAATATATAGTAACATTATAATACATTATACATAATATTTAGGTTGAGTCATACATAGGAAATTGCCGGTTCTATAGGCCTGACAGTTAAAAATTGGCAGTTTCCTGTGACTGAACCTAATGCATGCCGTAGTAGTGATTGTAAGTGGGTGTCATTGAACACCACATCACTTTTTCTCCCCCACATCTACCTTCAGACTAGTTCCACATTTTTAGAAACAGTACAGCTTCAATTCATGTGATATTCTCTGGTACGTGTGGCCCTGGCTTGTTAACAGGAATGGCTGCAGGACTGTGATTTATGTGCTCCATTTCTGCACATGAAGTTTCACCAGGTATGGCAGAGGTGGTCTGCAAAACTCATTTTGTTAGGATTATGCATGTACATTTCACAGTCGGGCTTTGGCTGTCCTTCATTGCATCTTTCTGCATTTTTCTTAACCGCAGGCTGTCCTTGGGTACTATTGGGGGTTGTGGGTGCCAGGAAGGGTTTCTGTGTCTTGTAGATCAGAGTTTCCCAGCAGTGGCACTGTTGACATTTGGGGCCAGGTTTGTTGCGGCGGTGGGGGGCTGTCCTGTGCACTGTAGGACGTTTGGCAGCATCCTTTGTCTCTGCCCATCAGATGTCAGTAGTGCCCCCACTGCCCCCATTGTGACCACCAGCAATGTCTCCAGACCTTCCAAATGTCCTGAGAGTAGGGGTGAGGGGGCCAAAGCGCCCCCTGCTGAGAGCCACCCCTGTGGATGTAGCATGGTATCCGGGGTAGTTTCTGTTCCTCAGAATTATTAAGTGAGCGGGCCAGGACTGTAGGCTGCCAGGACTGTCGGCAAACCCAGAAGACAGCAGCAAAACAGAGCAGAGGCAAGAATTAAATGTTTTAAAATTTATAAGCTCTCAAATCAACATGCAAAATAAAATAACTCCAAGCTCAGGATGGCATGTGGCCTGTGTCCTGTTGTATTTAGGCCCAGAGAGAAACTTGACGGAGCCGAACGCTTCCTCTGAAAGGAAAGCTACCGGGGTGGATTAATCTGTTTTTGGAAGGCATCGGCTGTTGATCAACTTCCTCATATTTCAAGCCTATTATTCCAGCAGGGAGAGCTAGTGTTCTTGTTCTTTCTCTATCCCCCCTCTCTTCTCTCCCTCTCCTTCCCCAGCCCTCCCTCCCTCCATGTGAACTCCTCTGTCAATTTGGGGTGCATGGGATGGGGGGTTATATACTCCTCATCAGAGAGGTAATTAAAGTTTATAGAAACAACCGAAGTCTGTAACAAAGCTCTCCACTAACGAGGAAACCAGGAGTCTGACTTTGAAACAGACACTCCTGTTAATCTTTTCAAAGCAAGTCAGACACGTGGGCAGGGAAAAGCTGTGAGCTGACAGTGGCTCTGGGGCTGCCCTTCCACGGCCACTCTCCAGCTCATCCTGCAGCCGGGCCGCACCTCATTCCACAGGGTTTGTCTCTGCCCTCTGGGGCCATCTGTGAGCAAGCCCTGTGTCACTTGTTTTTGCTCCCACAGAGGGCTGTGACATGCCTGAGGCTTCACAGGAAGCTTTACTCTATTATCCCAGTTAGGTGTCTGTAGTCCAGGGAGAAGCCGAGGCAGGAGGAAAAGCGTTAGGCAGATACAGTCACTTTGTTGTCCTCTGACGTGATACTCCTGTCACAAATAAGTGACTCCACCCAGTATTCTCTTGCTTCATTTTCCCTAAGACAAAAAGGTGAATGCGCTGGAAAATGAACGAAAGGTCATGTCATTTCATGACGGTGTCTGGACACGCTCTGCCCGTCTGTTCCAGCTACAGCGTGGTAGCCTGGTGATGGCAGCCAGTTACTGGAATCCCGAGTGAGCCTGCCTGTCATGGACGTAAGTAATGGAATGAAGTTACGGTCTCAGCTGGCAGGGGAAATAGTTCTTTGACTTGTGGGCAGAATATCTGCGTGATCGTGGATGCTCCCTGTACTGCTGCTTCTGTCTGCATGGTACCAGTGTCACACCACAGGAGACCAGCCATCTGGTCAAATTATGCTTTCTACACATGTTCTGATAATGAAATAACTTCGCCCCACTAGATAGGCTCAGATTCAAATGACCTAGTCAAATACTTGTTTTCATTTTTACGTCCAGTCGACACCCCTCCCAGGCCCCACCGGTCGTGCACAGTTCAGCCACCGGCCGGAGCTGCTTGGTCCTTCAGCTGGCCTGGTGCCCCCTTATCCAATAGCAGTGAAGGCAGAGGTGGGGACCCCTGATAGTCACAGGGAGCTTTTAAAGAGTAGGAAGTCTGGGGATTAGGTGGTTCAGGTATTTTAGTTGGAAATGGTGCCCCACCGATGGGGCTAAATATTTGCCGTGACAGCTCAGGTCTCCATTCTGCAGCCTGACAGGGATGAAAGCAGCCCCACTCCGGGCCCCTCCCGCTGCCCCCAAAGGATTAAACAGCCTGAGCAGATAATGGCTGCCTTAAAAGGATCTTTTGCATGACTCAGATTAATGCATGCTGTCTGTTGCCCAGGTTGGCAGCTAAACATTATTTAAAAAAAAAAAAAAGGGGGGGAAGAAAGAAAGAAAAGAAAACCTTCAGATGACAGCTCTTTTCAGACAAGGTGTGGAGTCTGTCTGCAAAGGAAAGGGAGAGAGACTGAGGACAGGTCCCTCCTGCAGAAGGAAGCCCAGGTGGGGAGAGGGCAGGGAGGGGGCAGCACACGGGCTGCGGGGCGGGATTGAAGGAGAAGCAGGCTCAGAGCTCTGGCGGGCTCTCAGAACTGGCGGCTGGTGTCACCACCACTTTTCTTTTAAGTATCCCAACCCCCTCTTGCCCCCAGGCGGCTGACAACACGTTTCAGGCCTGGCTCCAGGCTTGATTTCTCAGGGAGCTCTGCCCAGGTGAAGAGCAGTCTCCCGTGTTCTCTGCCACTGGTGAGAGCTGCTCTGGAATTTCCCCGGGTCCTCCCCCAAGACATCTCAGGTCGTGCCTGGGTGCTGAAATGGGATGTGGTTTTTATCTCCTTCGCACACTGCTGCTGTAAAACACCCTTCCCTCACTCCTGGGCTAACTGAAGTCCGGGCTGTTCAGAAGCATAACCGTGAGACAGGACTTGGGAGTGCACTCATTCCTCATTCTTTTTGAAAAAGAAGTCACCCTTCCATCTGATTGGTCAGTTGGAGCAGCTGGCCCCTAGGGTGTTTGGACGATAAGGAGCCAATGATCTTGAGTGCTGACACAGTCAAAAGACTTACGTCATAAATTCTAAGGGACAGACCCACAGTAGGGACATTTCCAAGGAAAACAGTAATTGCTTCAGATGCAGACCGTCGCCAGTGGGCAGAGCAGTGCCACCAAGAAGAGGAATCAGTAGATGCTGACAAGTGCCTCTGGAATCAGACCAGTCCTGAGGGAACAGAGCTTCTAAGACCACAAGCTGAACTGACTTCGTAATTCCTATGGTAGTCCCTTAACTCCGCAGCCTAGCACGTGCTGTGAAATTCTTGGCATTAATGGCTGAAAATAATGTGGAAATGGGGCAATTAAGTTGGCTTTCCTATTTGAGTACAGGGCCCAAGAGTATTTGAAGGCAGTTCCCACCTGGGGGGCAGTGATGGCCCTTAGGACGTTTGGCAATGTCTGATGGTGTTTGGTTGTCATGACCAGGTTGGGGGATGCTACTAGCATCTAGAGGCCAGAGACGCTGATGAAGACCCTCCAGTGCACAGGACTGTCTCCCACAACAAAGAATTATCTGGCCCCAAATGTCAGTGGTCCTGTTGTTGAGAAGCTGAGAGGTATTCTGTGAAGAAGCTAGAGCATGTGGTGAAATCTCAGGTAATCACAGTCGTCCGCAAAAACACATCACACAGCACTGAAAATGGCAGACACGACAACTTTGCCCCTTTGCCTGCCCCTGATCTGCTTTGCTATAATCTGATCCCGAGAGCTGAAAAGCAAAAACAGCTGCCCTCCCCCCAACACACAAGAAGTGTGTTCACAGGCTTCCTAATGCTGAAGTTCTCTGAAGTATTTTCACAGTTTGGTCCAGCTCCAATTTCAAAGCCCCAAACAAGGAGTTGCTTCTTTTGCTTTCAACAAAGGAATTTTTCTCTGTAACTCCGATTTCCCTGCCCATGAGCAAAGGTAGGTGCCAATCCCAGAGGTCTCATAGGTTAAATGACTAATATTTAATGAGCTCATATTAACAGCAGTTATGCCAACCACGACACCTGAGCTTTCCACGCTGTTCCTCTGACCTGGGAGAAGCAGCTCGTAGTTGGAAGAGTCCCATTGGGGT